TTTAATAAGGTGGTGGGATTCAAGAGGATTCACTGGATGTTTAGAATATGCTATGAATGAACCTTTTATTATCGTGATCCCAGAAAAGATAAAAGAGAGAGGATGTGTGTATGCGTTCTTGCAATGGTCAAAGATTGAAGGTGGTCAGGAAAAGATAAACGATACAATAGTTACTTGTATGTTTGACGTGTCAGACGAAGGATTTGTTTTTTGCCATCATGATGGGTATTACACTTTTTATTGTAGCATTTACAGTTCAAAACGCGAAAAGAATTTTGTTAGCAGAAATGAAAAATTCTTCAAATGAATCGTCTGGTTTATCGAAACTTGTGAATAGAAGCATCAATAAAGAATGGATATCTGACATGAGAATATTGTTTTTTATTTGTTTATTTCATGTATTTTTTTTTTTAATAAAAACAGGATTGAATGAATTGTTTTATTTTCTTTAATTTTATTTTTATTTATATAATTATTTTAACAAAAAAAACATATAAATTTAAAATTGTAAAATTAAAATAGATGCTTGTATATAATTCCTATAAATGAAATTATATGACAAAACTGGATGATTGTACATAAATCTTATAGTAATGAAATCATAAAAAATCATGATAAAACCAGATTGTGTAATAAAATCAAATCTAGTGCTCGGCAGAATCAAATAATTATTTGATAGTCAAGTAATATTTGACGATCATAATTTCTAAATCGGGTAATGCATAATCTTGATCTAATAAGCTCTATTATCACTAACGCTAATCGTTTGGTTATACTTTAACAACTAATAAAACTTCGAGATCTTTTAAATTAACTTGCATTAAAAATAAGACTTTTCTTTTTTTAATATACTGTGTATTGAATTTCTTTCAATAAGCATGTAACTTCCTTTCTCTTTCAAGTACTGATTGAAGCATTCTTTGATCTTCCCATTCAGTATTTCAGGGTCCTATGAAGTCAATAAAAAAATTACGAAAATGATGGTAAGATGGAAATGGAGTAAAAAGAATATGTTGATGTGGAACGATAGTATTTTGAGAATGAATTCTTTGTTCATGAGTATTTAAAGAAGATTTACTTGCATATGATTTATCACACAAGAAACAAGAAAATGGTTTAGCTACCATCGAAATATTAAATGCCAATTAAAATAAATTTGCAAAATCATTAATTTTTTTAATATTAAACAATATCAATATGTAATATATTGTTTTTACCTTTTTTCGTAAAGACGATTTGTTTTTAAAAAAAAAGAAAATTAAAATATTTTATGATTCGATAAATTTTAATAAGCTATAATGTATACGTAATAATTACATACTCTGATTGTGATTACTAATATTATCATATCACTTATTCCGATGTGATCATATCTAGAAATCACAAAATGAGCCCAATTAGCCCATACGACATATAATAAGAATTGCCTAATTAATTGTTATCGTTATAGAATATACTATCGGTATATGTATTTCATTGCATCGAGCTGAAGTTTAATATAAATTTCTCTCAAATCTTTATTATAGTTCTCTAAATAATGTGAGTGACATAATATTTATTTGGCATCAGAAAATTAACTAATTTCTAGTGACGGGAATTATCGTAAAACAATGCACGTGATTAGTAATAAAGAATTGCCAAGCCCATTTATGTAAATATCAAATTAGGCTGCATATTTCAATAAGCTTAAATCATCAACAAATAATTATATATATATATGTTAATAAACAGTATTATAATAATTTCAATCTTTCTCTTCGTCCGAAGGTTCTGAATCATATTTATGTATTTCGATAGTTGGGATGTCATTATTTGCCAAATTTCTATGTTTCTTTTTCGGGATCAATTCCTTGATTTTGTCCGTATCTTGAATTTCGGAATCTATGTTGAAAAAAATAATATATTAATTTATTTAACCCAATTTTTTTATTTTTTTTTTATAGTACTGTATATATACTCACTTTTGAAAACAATAGATTTGCGTGGATTATCCTGGGAAAGTGTAGATTCAAGCCCAAACCCTTGTGTAATGATTCCGCTAAGTGGTTTACTTGAATATATTGCTTCAGGATGAACATTGACTTCTTCATCGGAACTTTCTGAAATGCTTGACAACTCTTCGTCTATAGACCTAAATAGCGAATTATCCCATGACTGAATAATTTGATAAATTTCAAGAGCTCTGGGACGATTTGATGGTTCATCATTCCAACATTTTCTCATTAATTCAACGTAACACTTTGGTGTTCCTTCTACAATATCCGGTCGCAATCCTTCGCAAACCTCAAACACTAAATGTTCATCATGTGCCCTGTCCAAAAATGGAGGTTTACCCGAGGATAATTCCCACATTATCATGCCAAAACTATATATGTCTGAAGCTTGAGTATATGGCCAACTACGTAAGGTCTCAGATGCCACGTAAGGTACAACACCGTAAGATTCTAAGGCTGTTGGGTCTCTACATGCTGACTTATTCATTCCGAGATCTCCAATAATAATACGTACGCTTGAATCTTGAGACACTTGAAATATGTTGCCGGGATGTAAGTTACAATGTGTGTGTCCTTTTAAATGAATGTCTTTTAATGCATTTGAAAGGCTATATAAAATTTGGAACTTTTCTTGCCATGTGAGTTCTGTTTTTCTTTCTCGTAAAATGGTTCTAAGGTCACCTTTATGGTAATAAGGCATAACTATAATATAGCTATTTGTTTCAGGCTCACGCGAAATTCCGTATATCCGAATGGCATAATCGCAACGTGTTTTAGCTCTACAATAATATGACCGTAACTTTGTTATAAAAAGATGAATTTAATAAGTATTGATTTTTTTTAAAAAGTTGTTATTTTTGCATATGTACACACCTCATTAACGAATCCCGAATTAATAATATCATCATCGAGTCTTTTAAGCGCAACCTTACAATTTTTGTTTCTAACATACTGTTGTGAGTCATAGTCCCATAAATCTCTAGGTCCATCTACCCAATTAGCAACAAACATAGTTCCAAATCCACCTTTCGATAAATACTGAATATCCGAAAATTTTTCATATGGAATCCATTCCCAAAAAGAACACGGCCCATAGGCTTTATTTTGAGTATACTTAATAAGTTTATCAAGATATTCATTACCGCTTGTCCATTTCGAAAGTTTTTTAAATTTTCTTGATTCGCATTTTCTGCACCAATCTTGTTGTAATCCTGGCTTACCACATTTCGGACACTTGTATAAACCTGCAAATTCT